TTTCCTGCTTATGCAGGGGGTCGGACTCAATGATCTATTGAGGTCCCTTCCGACCCTAACATCTATGAATCTATGACATCAGGGACCAGGTTCCCAATGCTGGGCTCTCTGCCCACTGGCAATTGTGCAATTGGGGGCTGAAGAAAGTTATCCCTGATCTCAAAAATCCCACATTCTTCCATGCATGTCTGGCATGGCAAGACCCCTAATTTTGGGGATCCAGGATGAGATCCCTCAGCTCCCATTACATAGCTAAATTATCATCTGCCTGGTGCCTGAGATACTGCACCAAAAGCCTGTCTGCTTTATCTGTCCAGTCTCACCACCAGCTACAGAGTCCAGCCTAGTTCCTCAATTAGCTACGTGCCATGCAGAGGGGAACCGGAAAAACCAGGCTCTTGACAGTCTTATCCCAGATACCCGAGAGGTCAAGTTTTCACTGCTGAGAACCAGAGCCAGAGGGCACTATCCAGTTGGCCAGTCTCTCCTGAGTAGTGTGGGAGGTCATAGGTCAGAAAAGGGGAGGAGGGGAATGGGCATTGCAAAAGTCCTGCCCTTGCTCACATGGCTTTCCTAGATCACTCTCTTCTTTCTCTCCATATCTCAGTCCTTATACCCAGCAGGAAGCACTGATGACACGGTCGCCCGCAGACAGTCTGGTATGTGTCAGGGTTTCAAAATAAGGGAACATGTTGAAATTCTACAATACTTCAATGCCATCTTACTGCAAACTGCAAGCTGGGGTCCCACCCACCCCTTCTCTCCCAGGCCATGGGTGCAGACCCAGGGACCTGGATCCATAGACAGGTGGTCTGGCCCCTGCTTTGCTCGATGCTTCGGTTCTAATAAGTAGTTGACAGCAACATTGACCCTCACACACCCAAGGACTCCTAAAGTCCTACAGTTGCTAATCCAGGACATCCTTACTTCTGAAGGGAAGTAAGAGAAAACCTGTACTAACTCCCTGTGTGTTGAGATTCTGTAGAAAGTTACCAATTGCCAGCAGCAATTTTCCCTGAAGAGCCAAGAAAAGGTGACTGTGTGCATTTCTGGCTGCTTTGCCTATAAGCAATCTCTCTACTTTGCCCTCAGAGGCCAGTGTAAGGCTGGGCAAATCTGTCTTTTTCTCCTTTGGGACAATGCCCCTAACTGACCTCACAAGCTCCTTTGTAGCTACATACACACATCTGAGGCCTTCTGGGAGGACTGGCATCTACTGTCAGTCATTTGCATGCTATTGTGGAGTGTGGTTACTTGCCCATGATTACTGTAGCCCTCCCACCAGGGGGTTTCAAGAGGGGAAATGGTACTGGTCAGGCAGCTATGTTGGCAGAATTTCAACTGTCATGATTCCTCCTTCCCTTTCCTCCCCAGGCCCCTCTTCACCAATGTCCCATGCTCCTATAAAACTTCCTCTGAAATGACATGGTATGGAGGCGGCTATGGCTTGAAGGCTCAGGACAGTCATGTTGTTCAAAGCCAAACGTCTTTAGGCCCATGCCGGGTCCCTTTGGGAAGTTTGCCATGGGACTGGAGATTGTGCCTGATGATGGAGAACCTCAAACGATTCAGAGCTGGGGTCTAAGGTGATCAAGTACTATAATAGCTGCTTGCTTATTCAAATTAGAGCTGCATCATCTCTGCATTTTGCTTTCCTTCCATCAAGATGCCCTATATGCCTGCTTCTGTTCACCCTCCCCTGGGCCCTGGCTCCTCGGTGTTCATTCATTTATTCTTCACATTAGAGAAGACTTCAGCAGCCATTTCACTGCTTCAGGCTTCTGGCAAGTCAGAAGACCCATTTAACTCTGTACTCCCTCTTCACTCCTGCTGGGGGTCTTCAGTGCCTGACAAGTAACCCTCAGCTCTGTAAGGCCAACTCTTTTGCTTTCCTTTGCTTCCCTTGCTGGGGGAGAGGAAGTTATGACATATGATGACTCCCCCTCATCCCATTGCCAGATTGGCTCTTTGCCATGTTAGACAGACACTTGATTGGGATGGTTTAGATACGGATGATCCTGACTTGAGCAAGGGGTTGGACTAGATGACCTCCTCAGGTCCCTTCCAGGGACCTAGGTTTCTATGATTCTATGACTCACCTCCTTCTACATTCACTGTGTACGGAAAGGGAGCTGGGGCTCTGAGCTGCAAATACGTGAGTATCTCTTCAAAAGAAAAAGACAAACCAATTGCTTGAGTTTCAGCCAGCATCCAGCCCCCAATGGCTCCAAGCAGTCATGTCCCTGAATAATGTGATCAAAGGATTCTGACTGTTATTTACAGGCCAAAGAGCTCCAACAGATTCCAGCTGTTTACCTCTGGGTTGTTTGTAGGGTGGGTGGAGGGACTGACCTGTCACCAAGGAAGGGAGTTGGTTTCCTGTAATTGTTTTCCTGGCAGATATGTAAAACCTCTGTTGATATGTTACTGGAATGCGAAAAATATAGACATAGCTATACCATGGCGTCACCTGGATCAAGTAAAAGACTTGAGTCAGACATACTAAAAAATAAATAAAGGCAGCATTCAAAACACCACCCAATTTCAGGTAGTCAAATTCTGTGTGATGATTTCAAATGACTCTTTTAAAGGTCAGAAAAAAATGTCCTCAGATTTCATCGTGTCCCTCCATGTATTTCACTGAATAATGAACCAGGATTATCACATGATTTTCCATCCTCTTCTCAAGGTTCAGTCATTGACCAGGGCTAAAAACAGGAGGCTGGACTAGATGAACCTTAACCTGGTGGTTCAATGACAGGGTTAGAGCTGGGTTGGCAGCTCTAGACAGCCAGATGAGATGGACCATTGATCTGACCCAGGCCAATGTTAGGTGTTGGGGCATTAGATTGAGAATACCATCCAGCACCTGGGGCCGATGGCTTGATCTGGTGTGAGGACTGACAGACTAGCTACAGTGGCTGGACTGGAATAGAAATCAAACTAAAAGATTTGTATATTTATGGTGGTAAAGCTACAATGAGCGTTTCTGAACACAGTGTACCACTAGAGAGGTTTTAAAGTCAAATATTTATAGAAAGAAGTCTAGATCTTTAAATCAAATTGCATGTCTTTCCTAAAGACAGGGTCCAGTTGAATCACAAGACAGGGTCCAGTTAAATCCTGGGTACAATACAGGAATGACTAGGTGAAATTCCACAGCCTGCATTACATAAGAGGTCAGACAAGAGGAATCAAATGGCTTCTTTTGCCTTAAAACCTATGTAAGACCAAGGGAATCATCACTGGGTGTTTTGGCACCAATTTTAACACCGCCTTCATTAACAACATGCATGTTGCTGAAAATCCCTGTCTCCCTAACAGTCAGAAAGTCAACTCTACAGCACCATACTCAAGGCAGTCTTCCAGCAATCTCTGGTGAATTCTTTCAGCATTCGGACACTATTCCTGCAAGTCCTTACCCCTGTAACTATGAAGATCCTATCATGTCAGGAGTTGCATTCTGGAGTCAAGTATTTTCATAAGGGCTGGAAGAAATTAACTTTGCTGTGGACATACTAAATTAACAAAATCCACTTTATTGGTGCAATGACTATAGCAGTCTCAGACGCCAGTCATTCTTTTACCATTGTTAAAAATAGGACTTTGAATAATCTGTATTATATATACACAGATATCTCTAATCAATTCAATGGTACTACTACTTGCATACTGTTTTGACTCCTCCCTTCTTATCCATGTTATGAAGTGGTTCAAGCGGATGGATCACCTTCTGAAGCGGAAATGTATTTTTGGCGCATATCCATGTTGGAATGATGGACTCCAGAGCCTCATTTGTTTACTCAGAAAATTATGGTCTGATCTGTGTATTAGGAAAAATATTTCTTGTAAGCTCATTGCTGACACCATTTTTATCTGATAGCTTCCACAGCTGGGATATTCATTTTTGAAAATATTCAAAACTGATTATGAATGAAAACCGTAAACTAAGTTTTGTAAGTTTTTGAAGTGTAGTAGTGACTGTAGAGAGATTTCTCTTTTTTTAGGAGTGTTTTCTGCCTTGTATGAGAATCAAACATCTTCAAGTCCACCAGGCCTTGATGTGATATGATGTGGTGCGGTGCTCAGACCATGCCCAGTCCAGCGTTACAAACAACATGCATCATGTTCCAGAGCCATATACTTCTTGAAATGGAAGGTCTCTTTTGTCCCAGGGTGGCCCACTCCTTATCATTCAAGGCCCCCACAACTTGAGCCCATGAGGATAGGCAACTCTCGCTTCAGGCCTACCTCACAGCAGAAACCTTGAAGACTCAGGCTGCGTGAATCCAGCTCCCACACTGGCCCTTTAAGGGTCACCCTTGGCACCAAAGCTCACCAAAGCCAATAACCAGTCATTGGGCCAAGTTGTGGTTTTTACTTATGTGTATGGCAGGTGGAGTCTGAGCATGTGACCATCTACGTCCTCAAACCCCACCAACTACTGTGAGGAATATCAGGAACCCACACCCATGATCTCTGCCAAGACTTTGCCCACCCAGTACTGATGTCACATCATCAAAACCTTCAGCCCCCAAAAAGTCTCTAGACCACTTCTATGACAGTGACCTTCCTACATGTACATTGTGATTTGAAATAGCCAGCTTAGCTGGTGAGACCACCAACCACTTGCTCAAGATCCAACAAGTTCAACTAAAGGTCATGATTACCTTCCTCATCAGTCTGGGACCTCTGGGCCCAGGGAATAGCATGCATGAAGCATCTCCAGTTGTGCCTAAGAAGACAAAAGATAAAGCCATTCTGCCCAGGACTTTGACTACTATTCTCAGTACCTTAGTCTCAGCTCTACAGTTACCTCAGCTGTCCTGAAGAAAGCTACAGGGTCCAAATATCTGCACCCCACCTCTGCTGATAGAGAAGGTTGAAAACTAGGGCTGCTTATGCACATATTCATTTGCATTTAAATAAGAATGCTCTAGCTTTGCCTCACTGTCACATTTGTACCTGGCTTTTGAGTACAGGTCAGGCATAGCTGAGACTAATTCCCTCTTTTACCTCTCCACTTGCCTGAAGTTGGGAATATTTAGAGGTCAGGGGATATACCAGACTCAGATCCAAGGTTTGGATAGGTGTCTCTGAGCTAAGCAAGGGACAGGACAGGCCTCACTCACCCATTCAGCTAAGGCAGAGGACAGACATGTCACTGCTACAATCTTAACACACCATTTCACTTTGGTGCTCAGGGAGTGCACACAGTGCCTCTCACTGCTCACCATCCAGCTCTGTCACCCTTGCCCGCACTGATCAGTCCCTCACTCCAGGAACCATCTGGATGAAATTGGCAGCCGTGGGGATCAATTGAAGAGTCAGGTGGCGCTCAGTGTGTGCCAAGGAATCCCACTTTCAGGACTCAACAACCAAACCCTCTGGATGATCCAAGATGGTAACTCCCACCCTAGCCAGTGTAGCCTGATGCCCTAAACACTCTTGGGTGCTGATCCAGGCTGAATGTGGCAAGTCCCTCTGAGCCAGGCACTTACCTTCTTTTGCTGCGTTAGCACGTTCTTCTCCCATTAGCTACTTTGGCTTCTCTGGAGTTAATCCAGAAGTGAAATCTTTGCTGAGGCTGAGCAGCAGCACAATCCAGGCCTTTGTGACTCACTGAACCTGCCTGTACCATGAAGATAACATTGACCTGCCACACAATGATGTTGTGAGGATTAATTAAGGCTAGACTGTGATGGTATGTACATCCTCAAGCAATGGGCATCTGCACTAAGCTAGGGTTAGCCTTGGAGGCATAAGTGACTCATCCACATGCCACCCTGCCCTCTTATCCATCCTTCCCTGCTTCCTCCTTGCTCTCAGGGGATAATAATTCACTCCTGTCCCCTGCCTGCAGTAAACTGTGACCCATCTTTAAGAGCTGAGTCAGCTTCTCCAGCCAGAGTTGGAGGCAGGAGGGCAGGTGTGGAAAATTGTTCTCTGTTCCTTCCCCAGTTGTCTGCTGTGGGGAGGGAATTAGGAGACAAATACTCCTTTGCCCAGAGACCCAAGGTCTGGGCAGCCCTGCACAGGACAGGTAGTCTGGATCTAGCTCTATCTTACTTGGTTAAAACCAAATCCATTGGAGTGGATCTTACCTTTGTCTCAGCCTTAAGGAAGGGCTAGCATGTGGTTGAAGGTTTTGTCCTCCTTTTAAGCCTCCTGGCTCTGAGGAGCATCACAATTAATTAATGCTACATGTGAATCACTTGAAGCCACAGAAACACATACTGACTTCTCCAGTGGCTCAAGTGAG